AGCTGACGAGAATGGTCTGAGAAGCATAATCGATTTCCTTGACGGAGAGAGTGACGGAGTTTGGCAGCCGCAGCAGCAGCAGCGGCGGCGTTTCCCCTGAGCCGCTGCGGCAGGACAGATCAAAGGCACGGTGGGGGTAGCCACAGGCGGCAGGTTGCCGACCTCTGATTCGGAATGGGAATTTCACGGCGGGGCTATTCCTCCCGCAGCCTCTTTCACGGCACTCTAAATCCGCCGCCGCCGCCTTCTCCGTCCAAACCAACAATTTTAGTAACAAAAATAACAGTAAATTACTTAACAACAGCTTTCTGAGATTCATAAGCCCGAACTCGGTTCTGATCTTCGCTGCGTGATTAGCGTAGAAATTAAAAACAAGTTTATAAGAATTGCCGTATTCGTTGACTTATCCTCCCACTGCTCAACCTGCTAGTACGCGTTGACTCGCAATATACAGTTTGAAATCAAACTTTGGGATCCGCAGATCTTTTTCGTTCAACTGTTCAAGATGAGTATGATACGAAGATATCACTTTTTGGGATTAAAATAAGAATAATACTAAAAATTAACAAACAAATAAAAAAGATAGAGAGATTTATCTAAATAAGACTAAATATATCCTCAATTGTCAAAATAGGACTAAACTTTAAAAATTCTCTAAATGGGAGTAGGGTTGGGTCCGAAAAAACCGAAAACCGAATCAAATTAAACCGAATTGCGACCAAATAAAATTCAACCGCTAAAAACCGAAACCGAATGTAAAAAACCGAACCGTAGTAGTTTGGTTCGGTTTTGGTTTTTACACTTCAAAATCGAACCGAATCGAACAAAAATAAAATATGAAATTTTATTTGTTAAATGTAAGCATTAATCTTAATATCATCAATAGTCATTGAATTTCTTGTGCTAGAGAAATAATATTTGTGTTATGTTTAGTTTAGTTTAGTTTAGTTTATAAATGCATTTACACATTCATTGCTCATAATAATGTAGTTATATTGATTAATTATGTCTTTTATGTATGTATGTTGCAATTTGTTGCATAAATATATGTTTTCACTGGATATTAGTAGTAATTAACATTTATTTTTATCTAACTTACTTTTTTTGTAACTTAAATGTTTTATATTGATAAAAAAATATTCATCTCAGCTATATCACATAGGATGTATGTATTCATAAACGTTTTTCAAACTAGTCACAAACAATGTAAATTAAGAATAAATACACACTTTTATCTCTCCCGCATACTCATATAATTCAAAACATATTTGTTTATTATTATTTTCTTTATTTGTTCAAGTATGCTTGCATTTTTATGTAATATGTTTGATCCCTCCAACTTTTATATCAATTTTAAATCAAATGACAAATTTTTAGTAAAAAACCGAAAAAAACCGAAATCGAACCGAAACAAATCGAACCAATCAAACCGTGGTTCCAAGTTTTGGAGTGTAAAACCGAACTGAAACGAACCGAACTTTTACTTTGGTTCCGTATTTGGTTTTAGGTCAAAACCGAACCGAAAGAACCGAACCCACCCCTAAATGGGAGTTGTTATCTGTAGTTAGACAGAAACACCCCTGGAACCCTGGGAAAAGGACTGCTGTTGCCGGAACCCAAACTATCGCCTCCTCCTCAGAACTGGACGTCGCCGCTATAGATCTGGACACCGCTGATACAGATCTAATCATCGCTAGGGCAGATCTGGATGTCTCCGTCGTGGATCTGACCTCATCTATTCTCCCTCAGTCGCTGGCCATGCGAATTTGATTGCCGCCATTAGATGTTCGGGCGTCACCATTGCAGATCCAGCCGACCCCGCCGCTAATGCCAACATTTTTCTCAGAATGCCAAAAATAATCAAGAATGTCATTTTAATGGCATTTTTGAAACAAATTATGAAAAAAATTGGAGTGTAAAAATGCCATTTTGATGGCATTTCAGAGTAAAATTTGGCAATTTGAAACACCACAAACGAAATAGAGCACATTTATACGATGAAACAAAAGAGGGGAAGAGAGAAACATGTGAGAGGAGGAGGGAGGAGGAGGAGAAGATACTCCAGTTATAGATTTCGACTTGCTACTCACTCACTCATTGCTTGGCTCTGCACCTCTGCCCGCCTCCGTTGTTCGTTCCGCCCCTATTGTTCGTTGCTACTCACCGCGTCGGGAAGCTCACTATTGCAGGTTTTCAATCGGAGGACATGAGCGGAGAGGACCACCATCTAGCAACCTGAGATGTGAGTAGATCGAAGAAGAGTAGCTGATGTGGGAGAAGAAATTAGGAATGAAGAGGAGTTTATTTGTCGGAGAAGGTGCGGAGTAAGGGAAGAGAAATTTTGTCTCTAGAATTGAATTGAGTAGAACTATAGAAGGGAGCCGATGCGCGTCGATGAGGGGGCAGATCCGCATAGAAGAGGGTAAAATTGGAACAATACTCCTATTTAGGGGATAAAATTATAGCTACTCCTATTTAGAAATTTCAGCAACAATTTAATCCTATTTAGGGCAATAACTCCAAAAGATATGACGTTTAAAAATTTCCAAAAAAAAAGCGACTAGAAATGAGTTAGGGGATCATTATTATATACTCCCCCAATCTCATTCTGTAAGATAACTTTCATATTCTCTTGGTCAACACAAATCACTATTAATCTTTTACTTTATATATCAAAATTTTATGAATTTTGAATTACTTTTTGCAGGATTTGTAGTGGTTTTAATGTAGTTTCTAAATATGTAAATTTCATTTTCTAAAACTAATTTGAGTGTTGACAGGAATCAATTCGCTTTATCATCGGTCAAATATCGTAAACCGTAAAGTGTCATACAATTCAGGACGGAGGGAGTACAATAATATAATTTTGGGAAATCAAAGTATATGAAATTACAGAGTGATCCCCTGAATATACATTATTACACCTTCAAATTGTGCAAGGGTCACAACATACAAATTGGAACATAAAAATTCAAAATGCGGACTACATAAATTTTTAGTAAAAATGTCAGATTAGAATGTTTTTACTTGGATTGTTTTCAGTCCTAAACCAGACTAGACCAAATAAGTAAATTTCAATCCATTTAAAAACAACCTAATTGCAACAATATATTTAACAATAAGATCTCCATGAGCTACTGGTTCGTGAACAAAGTATTAGTCAATCTTGATGTGCTTGCTATGATCATGTTGAATGGGATTGACCGCCAAATCAGATGCAGATACATTGTCACAATGTAACTGTACGGGAGCAGTGATAATAACACACATATCAACAAGCAGATATCGAATGAAAAGTGTGTCCTGGACAGTATGACACAATATTCTGTTTCTGTGGAAGACTTGAAAATCGTAGGTTGTTATTTGAAGCGCCATGAAATAAGATTATTTCCCTCAAAAACATCATATCTTGTGGTAAATCTAGAGCGACAATTATCTAGACATCCAGTCCAATCAGCATCAGAATAAGAAACAATTGTGCGGTCGCAGTTATAAGCCATGCGTGGATGTTCCCTACAAGTACCTTTAAATTCGCTAACAACAAAAAAAGAGAGGTACATCGAGCACGCATAAAATGAGAGATCAGATGAACGACATAAGTAATATCAAGTTTAGTTATAGTCGAATATCGTAATGCACCTACCATGTTGTGATCGATCGAGTAGTTTTGAACAGCGTTTCCGATGTTTTTCAGGACATAAAGTGCGTAGAGAAGCGGAAGGGACCTGGCAACGGGCTAGCGTTTCGATTTGGCCGCGAAGCTCTCTTCGCGCAACTTTCTTCCACGGCAGTCCTACGACAGTGGCTTCGTCCGCTTCAGGTGAGAACTCACACCAAAGACTCACCCTCCAAACCAGAAGTCTTCGAGAATCGGGGCGATTCACACCGCTTTTGTTGGGTGATTCCACTACGGTGGCCAAGGCGGCGTTCCTGTGGTGCAATGGGAGCAATCATTGTTTTCAGCGGTGGCCGTGAACTAGTGGTGGTTAGTATTGGGAGGGCTAATTGCCATATGCTTGTTTTGGTAGTGTTGGCTTTGTTGATGCTAGGGATGAATGCTACACCAGTTGTGTTTGATTCAGGTGGAACAATGTCGGTTTGGCTTTTGTTGGAAGGGGCGAATTTGAAGTCCATCAAGGTGGGTGAGGAATTGGCGCGTATGATCCGACCGTCTCAGATCAGGTGGTGGAGGAAGAAGATGATATGAGGAAGCTTCGTCCCCCTCCCGAACCGCCGCCATCGAAGAAGTGCTTAATTAGGCTCTGGAATATGGTGCTTGGAAAACGGTCTCCACTGTTCTAGAAGCTAAAGTTTGGAGGGATAAATAAGGCAAGAAGCCATGAAGACTTTAATTATTCCTATATTTTTTCCTTTTCGATTGCTCATGTTGCTTTTACTTTCGTTATGACCTCTAGATGTAGGTTGGTAGCTTGGTTTTTATATTTTACTCAGGATGTGATGTGGGTGGAAGCGATAAGGCTTGTTTGGCCATTAAAAGATTCGAAGCTCTCACATGGTTCGCGAATAGTCTCGCTCCTTTCGGGGTGGTATATTCTATGTCTAGCCAGAGGAGTGGTCATGAGGAGGTTTGGCGATGTATGTTGGGAAGATCGTTGGAATTTGCGTTGATATAATATAATCAGTTTCCTTAAAAAAAGCAGAATCAATTCCAAACACCCCCTTGTTTTATTTATTACACAATTCAGCGCGTGAAACCAAAAGTAATGTGTCACATTCATCAAATCCATTAAACTAATGCATTACCAAAATGCAGTTTAGCAAAATACTTCTTCTCCATCAACCTTTTGATAAATTTGGTGATTTTTTCTATGACCTATTTTTTGTTTGACAAAGATAAATGTGTAGCGTTATTGCACACAACAATGCTTTTGTTTAAAACTTTAATTGTAAACTAATCTTGGACATCCAAAACAAAAATGCTAGATCTGCCACAACACCGAAAGAGCTCTAACAAAGAATACTAGTTATTCTAGAGCATAACGTTATATTATCGAGTATATTTCATAACATGCATCACATTGCAATAAAAACAAAATGCATTGGTTATTCATTCAAAAACCACATTATATGAATTGGATATCAATTGTTTCCGAAGTACAATACGGTAGTTCATGTACTACCACTAACTTACTTAAAATTCGAGATCAAACTGGTTGACTCTGTGGAATAGTCGAATGACATATCTGTTTCATCGTTGACCCATGCTTCTATAGGTTCTGAAACAGCTCTAGGAGGCAACTGCAGACCGTCCACGTCACCATTAAGCATGTCAACAACTTTGTTCATGGATGGTCGGTTACAAGGATTCATCTCAATACACCATAACCCCACCATAACCATCTTTTTAGCTATTTTATTTTCCTCCTCTGTAGTACCTCCAATCTCTCCATTTCTTCCCTCAGATACTTGGTTGTAAACCCATTCTGGGAAGTACTGGCTTGAATCGTTTGTTGATATATTCAATTTATTCCGCTTTCCAGCCATATCTAATACTAGCATCCCGAAGCTATAAACGTCTGCTTTGTACGAGACACGTCCAATATTCTTATAGAACAGTTCTGGTGCCATGTATCCAATAGTCCCCCTAGCTGCAGTCAAAGTTGCAATGGTGTTGTTTGCCTTCGAGTACAACCTTGCGAGACCAAAATCAGATACTTTTGGGGTGAAATTTTCATCGAGGAGAATGTTATGGGGCTTGATATCAAAATGAAGTATTTGCATATCACAGCCTTGATGTAGATACTGAATGCCACGAGCAACCCCTACAGAGATCCGAAACATTTCCTCCCAAGACATTGTCGAGGTCAATCCTTCTTGAGACAACAAATATTTATCAAGAGAGCCATTTGGCATGAATTCATACACAAGAGCCCGCTTACACCCCTCCACACAAAAACCAATCAGTTGCACCACATTTACATGATGAATTCTTTCAATGGTTGCAACTTCGCTAATGAAATCTTCTCCGTTACCTTTCGAGTTCAATAACATTTTTACAGCAGCAAAATGACCACTACGGAGCTTTCCTTTATATACTGCACCGAAGCCTCCTTTTCCTAACATCTCCTTAAACCCCCCTGTCATCTTCTTAATCTCGGAGTAAGAATACCTTATAGGCATGAGGTTGTTATGGTTCTTCAGGAAGTCTTCTACTTTGTCGTAAGCTGATAAATGTCTCCTTCGCCATGTGTAGATCAGCAATGCAATCATAAATGGAGCCCCTATTGATGCCTTTGCTGCTTGAAGGAGACCTATGTATGAAATCAATCACCAGAACATACTATTATACTACTAACTATAAGAAGATACATAATTTACAATTTAGCTTATTTGTTTGTGTACTTTAGAAGGTAGACTAGAAATCTAAGGATACGGAAAGTTAGTGCTTACAGATCAGATAGATTATATCCAAACCGGATCCTGCAGACAATGTTCAAACCAGTTGATAAGATTTTACATACTTTGGTATCATGGTATGAGTAAGGTAGAATGTGCTATACTTGACTAAACCAGAGAATATCAAAGGCCTACCCTTTAAAGTATACAATATTTGGATGACAACAGCGCGAACTTTTCTAGCATCTTCATTGGCCGGAGAGAAAAAAAGAACAGTTCAGGAGCAGAAGTATGAATAATTGAAATAAGATTAGGCAAATATGCTTAAGAGCATAACAAGTCAGGAATGTAAGCAATTAAATAGCAGTAATGAAGGCAGATCAATTTCTTTCGCTGATTCATTTGAATGATACTGTGATGAATGCCATAAAATTTGAGTCACAAAGGAAACCTCCTAGCATATATACTCACCAACTTGCCTGCATGAACCGTGATTAATCCTCAAGAAGTGGTAAATTTCACACATATACACATAATGTGCAGGGGCAGCTGTTATAACAAAAAGGTAACACAAGGTGGATATAAGAAAAACATAAAAAATATAATTTGAGTAGTGTATCTCTTCAAATTGAACATCCACTGTACTTTCCTGCACGATCCCAGTAGAGTTCAAAGCCAGAAAAGAGATCCTGATGAATCTCTTCATACGACGTATAATTTCGTCCTGCTGGTACCAAAACTGACTTCACTATGCTGCAACCAACCTGCAAATCCCCTAAACCCGTTTTTCTGGCAGGAGCTAGGTACGAATAATTTCCGCTGCTAAAGCAAGGAGAAGTGTCAATGAAAGATGGGGAATTCAATGGAATCGGGCAGCTCACTAAGACCATAGTGTCTGTCAGGTATTCATAACGGCCGCTGAGAGGAGAAATTGGGAAGGAGGAGCAATCGTCTTCACGAACACCGACATCGGACACTCTGATTGTGAGGGCGGTGTAATTGATTGAGCGGACATTGTACTTGCCGGAGTTGAAATGGAGCACTGTAGCATTATTGTTTTCACAGAACAGGGTAAATCTCTCGTCTCCGCAGTGTTTAGGGTCGGTATTGAGCCGGAAAGGGTAGCTGATGTTGCGGATATGGCCGCACGAAGAAGGGGCGCAGGTTTTTCCTTCGCTCAGGTGGAAGAGATTCAGGAACACAGCAGCAAACATAAAAATCATGCTGGTGCTGTGAGCGTGAAGAGAAGAAGAAGAAGATGATGGCGCCATCGAATTGGAGATGATAATGGACTCTCTCTTTTAGATTGGATAGATCACCGTCGTCTCCGAACACAGCCATGACTTTGCAACTTGCAAGACTTCGGTTTTGCTCCTCTTTTTTAAACTTAGTAATTTAGAGATTAAACAAAATACATTAGTAGTCAATTTTGGTATGCAAGGCGATAGTCAAATTTGGAACGCTTTCCTCTTCAGAGTTCTATGCAAGAGCAATAAGTAGCAGAGTTTGCAGTTTTGATGCCCCAGACAAAAAATGATTAATAGTATTTAAAATTAATAACATAATTAAATATGAAGTGATTAGAAAATTATAACACCATTTTTTACGAAAATATGAAGTGAAACAATTTTTCTCTTTAAAGCTCTTGACTCTTGTTTCCGTTTCCCTGTCATAGTAGATACTATAAAATAATAATTTAGCACTAAATATTAGGTATATTACAAGTTAGTAAATATCAAATATGGAAACACTGTTTAATAGAAACAATTTCAAGCTAAATTTAATAAATGAATAACTGCAAGAAAAAAGGAAAAAGAATAACACAAAGTTTCAAGTTTAATACAATTAATAAATACTACCCCCGTCCCAAAAAACTTTGACATTTTCAAAACTTTGACCGGCTATATCTTTTTATTAAAAATGATTTATAATATAAAAATTATATGAAAATGTTCTTTGTTAAAAGTGCTTTCATAAAAGTATAAAATTTATAACTTATATAATGTTATACAAATCAAATTTAAGGTTCAAATTTTTGGAAATGTCAAAGTTTTTTGGGACGGAGGTAGTAATAATTTATAAATTAGATGTAGAATAAGTCATCAATTTAATATCTATGCTGATTTTTTCAAAAAAAAAAAACTATGCTGATAGTGAATTGCGGATGGGAGAAGAATGAAAAATTGAATATGAGGAAAATCAGAAATCATTAAAACATAACGAATTACTGTTGAAATCTCAAAATTTGGAGGGATCATTACCTGGTTTGCAGATTGGTACGTCACCTGGCCGCCTGGCAGAACTGCAGAACCGCAGAATTGGGAGCGGCTTTACTAGCTTGGCAGAATGGGTAGCGGACTAGCGGCTTTAGAAGTTCTTTCATCTCCGCATTTTAATTTTTTTAATTCTAATTTTAATTCTAATATTTCTATTGGGCCATCTAGCTCATGGATTCATGGCAGCCAGGCTATCATGTCCTTGTCAAATGGAGTATCATTTTGTTTGACCTTTAGAGTTTTGACTACTCCGTATTTGTCTATTTCCAATTGTTGTGCAGAAGCTATGTTGCACGGATACGGATACGCCGATACGCGGATACCCGAATACGGGTACGGCGATATGACAATTTAAAAAATTATAGGATACGGGTACGGGGTATATTTATAAATAATAAAAATATAGGGTATACTTTGCAAATATATATAATTCAAGGGTTCATAAATAAAATAATAATAGTACAAAAAATTAACTATTATAATGAAATTTCAAAGATTAGTCTAAAAAAAACTAAAAAACAAAAGTACTAATATTTTGATTTAAATTCAAATAACATTTTTTTTGTTCTCTATTTGCATTTACATCTATGTCTTGTTTCAATTAAAGCTCATCAAGCAATGAAATGACAAATTATAGTATTCCATTATTTTTCATACTCCCGAAACCATCTTTATCAATGTTCCACATGTTGTGGTCAATCTTTATCAGGATGCGTATCAGTGAGTATCGGATACGGATACTTATCGGATACGCGGATACGACATCGAGGTGAAGTATCGGTGCAACATAGTGCAGAAGTATTATATCAATACACTAATATACATATATACAATAATTTTTGTTGAATACACATCAACTCTTTTTGCTTTGAGTCAATAGTTCAAATACTCTCTGATCAGGATTGTATTGTGCTAAAAAATATTATCAAAAAAGTAGACTCAAAAGGCGCATAAACGGGTTTGATCGGACGACAGGTCTGGTCAAGCTGGCCTGATAAGAAGTGTTCTCTTATCATATTATATATACATGTATAAATTCCAAAATATTTTACACACACATATAAATACATGTACTAAAATTTTAAAAGACTTAAAACATATAAAGTACTAGAGAGAATTTCCTAAATAGGAGTACAAACGTTTTGAAATTCCAAAATAGGACTATTATGTTTTTTATTCCCTGAATAATAGGGAGTAGTAAATTTCTGCCAAATTTTGCATTACTAGGCTTTAAACATGACATTTTTTTCAAACTTGGTAGATTATTTCTATTCAGGGAATAAAAAACATGATACTCCTATTTTGGAATTTCAAAACGTTTTTACTCCTATGTAGGGCAATTTCTGAAAGCACTATAATAAATATTTTATTCTATTAATAAATCATATGCCGTTTAATGTTTTTTTTTTACTCCAAGGGGGGTCTAGGGAGGGGGCTGGGGGGCCTGGAGTAATCAGGCCTGAAACTCATTCCATTGAGTTTCGAACCCTTATGTGCCTAGCAGGTTTCGAACTAGGGACCTCCCACTAGCCATGGTAACCTCACAACCAGCCGGGCTGGAATGCTTGATTTGCGCTTTAATGTAATTTCATATTACCCAAGCATTTTTTTCAGCTCATTTTGGCAAACAAGGTTACTTCATTCAGCTAACGATTCAGATTCAACACTTAAGTCAGACAATAATCTTCTGTTCACGCAATAGCCCTTAGCTCGACGCATTTGAATCATTCGTCCGCATTAATACTGATCAAGATCTGAATATAGGTTACCTAGCTTTTGCTCCACCGCGCAGCATCACACGTTTTGGTACTCACACCAGTTTTTAATTTATGTGATTTAAACATGATAAAATAATAATGACACATTACCACAAAAATTAAGTGTTGGTTCGGTTTTGGGGATTTAGAATAGTACAAATAATAGGGATTTCATATTTGTTTCATTTATTTTATTTTCCTTGACTTTGCACCAATAGCATTCAGTGGTGCGATGCGAACCACAATTGTTAAGGTAAAACTAGTATCTTACCCTTGCAATGAACGGTTTATGAAATTTGCGGGTGAAAGTTTGGTCAAAATAGAAATCAACAAAATAAACTTATAATTTAATTTAAGATTGGGATGTAGTCTGTAAAGTCAAACAAACAGGTCTCAAATCTCAATATCGCACAATATCTAAAAGAAACTACGAGTCTAGGTAATACAAATCCTCTCTTAGTCCCTTACAACTTTGTCATTTTTTCTTTTTTGATTGTTTTATTAACTTTGCTATTTTCCCTTTTAAGTAAAGAAATCATGATTTCAATTAATTATCTCTCATCTGTACAATATTGGCCAAGTTTTAAGGGATGTAGGGAGTAATAAATAAAAAATCTATAGTCAAATATTGAGGTAAATGTGTATATATACAATTTCTTTTTAAGGTGTCAAACGGGATTTAAGTTCAAAGTAAGCCATGCTTCATTACATTTGGAAAATACTACTCGGTATATCACAAAAATGTATGAGACATTTTTTGGAGAAAGGGTGTCCACCCCAAGTTACTACAATAAAATTTATTTATTCCACAACATACAACTCGTGGTGAATAAATAAGGGGGTTATAAATTACAAATTTCATACAAACATTATCCAAACATGCACTCTTAAATAAATTCGAACTAATGAAATAGTTAACCTTTTGTTTCAGAAAGAGATACATTCAAAGAGGAGTTCGAGGAATGATTCTGGAGATTCCAAAATTTTCTCAAATTTAATCCAAATCATTCCACTCTCACTTACTCAATTTGGAGTAATTTTGAGAACATCTCACTATTCCGCTAACCACCCATTGAGAACATCTCTTGTCCTTTTACTTATCTTTATTTGAGAATGGGACAATTTACTGTCGATTATTCTATTTCCTCTATTGCATCTAAGTGTTGGCAAATGAGTTTGGTTGTTCCACCTGTAAAAATTCTTGGATTTGGTTTAGAGATAAATGGATTGGGAGGTGTGCTCAACTTATCTCCTTCCCCTTCTAACATTTCAAGGGCACTTGTCATGGAAGGCCGATCAACAGGATTCCATTGACTACACCACAACCCCACAATGGCTAGCTTCTTTGCAATTTTAACATCATTCTCTTCTTCAATATCAAACCTTAGGTCTTCTCCTTGCTCTAACACATTATAAATCCACTCAGGGAAATATATTTGATCCTCTGCATGTGATTCAGTGTCAACACATTTCCTTCCACTCACCATCTCTAGTAACAACATTCCGAAACTATAAACATCTGATTTATAGGAAACGTTCCCGAAGTTTCTTGAGAAAACTTCGGGTGCCATGTAGCCTATGGTCCCTCTAGCTGTTGTCATAGAGACGAGGCTTTGATCCCTTGAAGATAACTTAGCGAGGCCGAAGTCGGTGATTTTGGGATTGAGATTGTCATCAAGGAGTACATTGTGTGGCTTGATATCGAAATGTAGGATTCTTTCATCACAACCCTGATGGAGATACTCAATACCTTTGGCTACGCCAATAGCAATATGTTCCAAAGATTTCCAGCCAAGAAAACGGTTCTTCGAGTCTGGTGAAGAAATGAACTTCTGCAGTGTATCATTTGGCAAGTAATCATATACAACAGCCCGTTTAAACCCGTCTGCACAGAAACCGATCAAGCGGACTATATTGGCGTGGTGAATTTTCACCAATGTTCCAACTTCATTAATGAACTCCTCTCCATTTGCTTTGGAATCATTGAGGACCTTAACAGCTACATTAACTTTCTCAGACAACTTCCCCTTATAAACAGTTCCATGTGCTCCTTTTCCCAACTCGTACTCAAATCGATTTGTAATCCTCACAAGATCAGCAAACAAGTATCTTGTCGGCTTGAAAGCTTTGTAATCATCAAGAAACTTCTTAACCTTGGCTTGGTATTTTTTCTCAATTCTATAAAGCTTATATCTATATAAGACTAGAATAACTGCTCCTATTAAAAAGACCAAACCGAAGACTACACCTGCACACGCACAGACACTCCATTTATTAGTTATTGTTTGGCAAATGTGATTGCCATAATGTGGGAACTCACTCAACTAAGTACGTTAGCCAACCTGTAATCACTTTCTTTTTCATTGAGCCTGTAAAAAAGTGAAAAAGATATTAGTTGTAGTAGTACTTATATAATTTTTTGAAAGGTAAGTACTAATATATATAATTAAGTATTGTAATTAAAATTGACCCGTAGAAATTCCAATTTTCCAAATAAGTCTAAATAAATTGTTCTTTCTCATATAGGTGAGTTCTTCATTACTATCACTCCCTTACCGCTTAGGGTTCTCACTTTCATGTTGGACGTCCCAACTAAAGGCTCTTATTTCTATTTTAGATCGAAATAATAAGCACTCTTAATTGATAATTTAATCATCCCAATTTAAAAATAATACAACTATAACATCACAATTATCATAAAGGTCCTTACTATATTATATACCATCTAAATTAATTCTCAAAATATAATCAAATTAATTATTTTATAAAAAAAAATGTGTCATTTTGCGATTAGAATTTTAAGCAGGAACAAAGGTAGTAACTAGTAACTACTAAGAATAGTACTCAAAAATAAAAATAGATCAGATATACATATACTCCCTCCGTAATTTTTTTGTTTGCTACATTTTTCTTTTCGGAAAGTATTTTTAACACATTTTTCCTTTTTGGTATGTTTCTCTTTTAAAAGTATGCAATTACTCTCACAAAGACCAGACTAGACCTGTCTTAAACAGACCAGACTTCCATGGTTATAAAAAAATACACAAAGACTAGACATTTAGCAGACCAATTCAGACTTAAACAGATCAGATAAGACCAGACCAACAAATTTAATCCAAGTAAAAACATCTTAAGTCCTATATGGGAAATAAAATATATTTAGTCTTGTTTTGCATTCTAGATATCTTTTGATCCTATAGTGAGCAATTTCCAATTGTTTTAGTTTCTCATATTCCCGTTTTAAAAACAAAATGGAAACTTTATCTTATAGTTAATTCCTATAATAGGAGTAAAATATGTCTAAATCTTTATAATTTCCTAAATAGAAGTCTTTTTGTAATTGGACAAGAATACCCCTACAAGGGTGGGTCCTTGGTCGCCGCCTCATAGCTGTTGCCACCACCGGTTT